CACACACCACAAACACCCACACCACCTACACACACACCAACACCACACACCACACACACAACACACACACACACCACACACTACACACACCACACGACCACCACTTTCTCTCTCCTCCTCTCTCATCTGATTCATTTATCGGAATGATGGGCATCGACCAATAACGCCAAAAAAGCATCATCTGGGACTCCTTTCTGGTTTGGCATCGCCCCTCAGATCGTGATCGCTGATTGTGATCGAAAGTGCGGTGGCCGGGCAGCCCGCGTCAGCGCGCGGTCACCAAGAACAAGTTCAAGGTTCTGTACGAGAAGGAGCAGAAAGGGCCGCGGTCACCGCCCTCCTGCTGCGACTGCCAACGGATACCTCGGGGTCAGCCATCGCGACAGAAGGTCCTCACACACCACATCGACACACACACACACACACACACACACACACACACACACACACAGCACACCAGCACACACACACACACTCACAAAGCACATATCTGCGGAGTTTGAAAATCACTGCTGTCCCCTGTCTCATTCCAACTCCAAGATTCTGCCATTCCTTTTCCATTAGCAGTGCCTTCAAAGCACAGTGACAGGATAAATAAAAACAGGGCTGTGCCCAAGCAGGTCTTAAGTTTCATAACAAACAGTTTATCTTATCTTGCTTTTGAATTGCGACCGATGGACAGGCAATTTTTAAAAAAACATTTAATGGCAAATGTATTTTTTCTCTCCAAATTAGGCGCTTTCACACCGCGAGTACCTTTCCCAGTATTAGTTCCGATAGTTCTTTAACAAGCTTGCGTTCACAGCCAAGCGAAAAATCCGGAACTAGAAGCTAGTGCATTGAGAACCTTTTCAACGCGCCCCCCTCTCTCTCTCTGCCAGAGAGCAGGTACTCTCATGCGAAGAAAAAGTTTCCCATTTCTGCAGTTGGCCTGCGCTGCGAATGCCAACACGCCCCCTAAAACTCAGAGAAACGTTTTGTGAAGGCCGGGCCACTTTATTTGCTTGCATTAGCATTATTAGCGTGGTAGATCTAGCCTCACGCACCAACACAGAGAGACTAATTAACTTATGGCAACACAAAAAAAAACATGGGAGCGGTGGAGTGATGAGGAGGTGTCGGCGTTCTGGCGATTTACTCGGAAGTCTTCAGTAGAAGATGCTGGGAGTCCCAGCAGCTTCTACTGAAGCCAGTCCCCAACTCCGGGGACTTCCGGCCGGGGACTTCGGGTGGCAGTATACGCCGTGAAGTGGTTTACGGCCTGCCAGTAAACCCAAAGCAGCAGAAGAAGAAGAAGTGACGTCAGCGGCTTCATTTACATAATCTTTCCTCAGGGACTTATTCCGGTGTGAACGCGATTTACTAGATAGTTCCAGGAAATAAAGATGCGGGAACTATTCCTGGGAAAAGTACTTGGTGTGAAAGCGCCTATTGAAACTGTCACCTTAGCATTTTAGAACTCATGGTAACTTTGATAATTGATTTTAAATGGTGTTTTATTACGCAACAAACAGCCACAATCAAAACGAATGGCCACAAAGGCACTGGTTTAAATAAAAAACAGAAAGAAATAAGGTAGACTCTTTAAATAAGAGTTTTAACAAGTTAGCACACAAGCAAAATGACTAACAAACAAATAAACAAAAGAAAGCCTCACTTCTAAAGTGGAAAGGAGAATTGGGCTAACAAAAAATAGGCTGTTATAAAACACAGCCTGGAGACAAATTAACCAGTTAACGTTGTTCCTTAAATAAGCAGAATACAGGTATAAGCACACATATACAAACAACTAAGTTAACCACTGTTAACTGAACTAACACAGAATGTACGGAGCGAGTGCCAAGCTAGTTAACCACTGTTAACAGAATGTACGGAGCTAGAGACGTCTGACCTCTCCCGACTAACACGGTGCACACGGTCTTGTAGTTGTCCCCGGAAGGTGTGTGCGGGGATTGGAGAGTCGGGCCCGCCCTGCTCCAATCCAGATCTTCGGTCATGCCTACCGGGGGAAGGACAGGAAACTGGCATCCAATGGCGTACATATATAATACACAGCTGCAAACACTTAGAGAAAGGTCGATGGGCAGATAGAAGGCGGCGGCCGTCACAGTTTCATAAACAGTTTTGCTTCTGAATGGAAAAGGAAATGTATTTTCTCTCCGAAGGCATCAGTATCACATTGAGACTGTTACCCAAGCTTTAAATGACCCAGGGTAACTTTGAGCTCCTCCTCGTTGTCCCTGCAGATCTTCCTGTGGGTCCTGAAGGACAACGACCTGACGGGAATGGCCTTCATCGACACTCAGCTCTACATCCACCAGATGTTCAGCATCAAGAACTTCATCCTGGCTGCAGACGTGATGAAGAGCATCTCTCTGCTGCGCTACCAACAGGAGAGCAAGACGCTGTCCCTCGTCAGCAGGGTGAGTCCATTCAGTCTTAGTGAGTTTTTCTGATGTATTATTATGTATTTATTTCAACAACGACCATGCATACAAGTGCATTCATCTCAGAAAAGAGAAGAGATGATTTATGCCAGATTGTAATATCTCATTTCCATCTGCAGTCCTTAGCAGAGTTCCCGTTAGAATATTTTTTCGCCGGTCAACATGTCCGTTAAAGTATAATCTTCCGGACTAAATGAGAAAAGTGCCGGTCAAAGGTCTTCTTTGTTATTTATTCAGCTTTAAAACAAATTGATATGATTCGATATTAAACACACTAATTATAGTAGATTAACTACATTATTCAAAAGTGTACAGTAACTTATAATAACACGGGAATAATAAACGGAGCGCTCTCTCCCTCTCCTGACAGCCCGTCAGTATCATGCAGCTCGCTGATCAGTAATGAGTGACCCGACAGTAAAAATAAACATACCTATAACTAGTTTAGGTAGTTTGAGAGGTAGTTAAAATAGCTACGTGTGCTATTCTAACCTGAAGTGTGTTTTGTTCCGCTCACCGGCTGATCTCTCTCTCCCGCCAGATTAGACTTGCGTTTATGTCCATATCGATCAGATCCAGCTAGTTCTAGCTAATGATATGACTACCTGCTTATTAAAAGACGCCTCAACAATAAGCGTCGCTATGCAACCGGGTGAGGCCACAAAGTATAGCGCAGCATTATGCATTTGTTTACATGCCCACCGGAACCCCGAGGCATTACCAACAGATCAACGCACAATCAACCCAGACAGGACATCTCTTTCTCCACATTAAGTGTTAGACATTAGAATTGACTACTCTTGTCTGTCACATACTCTTCTGTCTGTCACATCAGTGATGCGGTATTGCGCTAAACGGAAATTATTTTGAACCGACACTTTGACCGGAGAGATTTAGATTTGCAGGTCTTCAGCATATTTTACTGGTCGTAGTCC